TCTTGAAAGGGCTTGAGTATTTGCATACTCATGAGCCTTGTGTTATCCACAGAGATCTCAATTGCAGCAATGTCTTTATCAACGGGAATATTGGCCAGGTACTGATAATTGATCACTTCAATTTTATTTCATTTTTACCTTTTTTGGGGTTTTTTATTATTGTTTTTAATATTCAGTTTTGTTAATATATATTTTTAATTTATGGTTCAATAGGTGAAGATTGGTGATTTGGGATTGGCTGCAATTGTGGGGAAAAACCATTCAGCGCATTCAGTGTTAGGGACCCCAGAATTTATGGCACCAGAGCTGTATGAAGAGGACTACACTGAAATGGTGGACATATACTCATTTGGGATGTGTGTGCTAGAGATGGTGACCTTGGAAATTCCCTATAGTGAATGCGACAATGTTGCTAAAATATACAAAAAGGTAACCTCTGGGGTAAGACCCCAATCCTTGAACAAGGTCAATGATCCGGAGGTGAAGGCGTTTGTTGAGAAGTGCCTTGCCCAACCTAGAGCGAGGCCTTCTGCAACTGAACTTCTCAATGATTCATTTTTTGATGAAGTCGGAGATGATGATAACAAAGAAAATGGTTACTCATGATCAATCATGGCTAAGTAATTATGTTGTTAGATGTGTTTAATTGACTAGTTAAATATGTGTTAGTGCTAGTTTTTTTTTTTTTTTTTTTTTTTTTTTTTTTTATAAAAAAACTCCATGTACGAATCCGGGTTGGGTTTTAACTTCTGAATTGGTTCCTCTTTTTTAGAAGGGAAATTAGATAAGGATAGAGTTTTGGAATCATGGTGTTGATTTTGTACATAGGATTTTCACATTACAAATTAATTGTTGTTGTTAGATGAAGATTGGGTTTCTTTTTGTGGTTTTGCTTGAATTGTTTCCAAACTATGACGATTTCTCTGTCATATATTTTTTTGCAATCAAAATAGGTTAGTGGATGGAGGTACCAATTGTTTATCTATATTTTTTTCCAACTCTTCACAGAAGTCGACTCTTATGTAAAGCACTCTCCTGCTTTTGAAACGTTTGCTTGTAGTGTTGAATCAAATTAAAACAAGCATGGATTAAATCTTAAGTTAGATTATTCAAGCAAAGTCAGAGAAAAGAAATTAAAATTGAAAAGTAATTAATGAAAAAAATTAGTGAAGTCAAATGTTTGATTAAGCAAAAGGGATTTTAAAATTTGAGCCACTCTTGGCGTGAAGCAAAACACAATGATGAAGAGGGTTAGTGGGTGGGAGTGGCCAATTGCCCTTATTCCCCTTGTGGCCTTTGCTGTCACACACACACTTTGTCTTGTGGGAAAGACATGGCAGTGAGTTGCTTCCATTTCTTTCCAAGCAAAAGCAAAAGGGTCGGTCTTTGCATTGCATCAAACCTCCGTGAATGGCTGGTGATAAAATATAAGAACAGTGTTCCCAAAATATAATTCATTAATCTTATCCGATTTCTGAAAAAAGAATATTAAAGATCAATAACCCCTAAAAAAGAATTAAAATATAAATAACCCCATTGTGCAACCCCTAAAAAAAAAATTCGAAGGAATTGGAATTGATTGCATTTATAGCCAACTATATATTTGTCCTACATGAGGAGACGTGCTGAAGAATGTAAAAATGTCATCATCATCCTCTTCATTTAGAGTTCTAGATTTATGTTTTTATTGTTACAGTCTTTGGTTTTACCAAATATGCTTTGTTTGATGCGGCAAATCCGTGTTGTCGTCCTGGCTCTTCTTGGAGACATATCATATTTTTATTTATTTATGATGTTTATGTATCCCCTTGGAGTTGTTTATCCACATAAAAGTTTTAATTTTTAAAGGCCCAAGTTTGACAAGTTTATATTGTATACATTCTTTTGAAAAAGGTGTGACATTCACACCGTGACATGATGTTACTAATTTAAGTATTATAATATGGGTGAATAATATTGATATATCATAGAATAATATATGTGCTATAACATAAGTGGATTGATACCACAATGTGACAATGTGATTGTAACACATAAGAATTCCTTGTTCTTTTATTAGATTTGTCTAGGGTTGGCACGGGTACGTTGGAGCCAATGTACACCCAAACGACCAAAAAGAACACTGCAGGTGCAGCCACTCTTCGGTTTGGTCAACTCGGCCGTTTTTCTGGATATTAAGCCCTCTAATCGTTGTAATCTTTAGATGTCCTCCTTGGTCTGTTTGAACTTCATATGCTTTATTTTAGGCATAATTCTAACTTTTTGCCGCCAGTGTTGTTAAAATCTCAATTTACTCCATATATTTTAGACCATCTTATTTTGCACCTTTGCACCATATGTATTTTTATTCAGGTTCTCACTTTGCCCCATTCTATTAATTCCGTCAATAAAATCTTTAACTTGCTAATATGACATAAGCACATCATCAATTTAGCCATGACATTTTTTTAAATTCGATTAATTTAAAAAATATATATTTAAATAGATTAAAAAACCTGCTGGATGTAACTGACAGACGTATATGGCCCTTGAAGAAGAAGGGATGAATTCTCAACATACATGGTCGTCGCCGGCGTAGCCAAATAACCGGCGGGATTGAACTATGCCTGATACGATTTTTACCATCCACGCAACTAAGGTTAAAATCACATAAAATACTTGCAAGAATAGTATATATGATCATGCAAGGTCGTTCTCCTCAAGGACTATTTAGCAATTTATGTAAAAACAATTTCCAATTAACTACCTAAAATTAAAAGTTGAGAAAGATGATTATGAAATTGTTTTATACTAAAAACAAATTTTAAACAAAAACAATTACGATTGAAGGAAAGAGTTTTAAATAACAATTTATAAAAGCACCAGGGTTTCACCATCACCTAGCAATCCTACGAATTTTTACCAATTACTTATGATTCGCACATGCCACTTTGAAGGTTAGGTTTTCCTAATTTGAATTCTACTTAGAACGTATATCCAACATGCAACCCGTTCGGACGTTCAGATCAAATCTAAACATGAAAGACTTATTAAGTTTTGTGAAAACCCTTTGAAAAACCATGCAACCCTTAAGATGTGGTGTTCATCTTAAGTGAAATTACAATTATTAATCACAAGAAGCCAGCATCAATTTCAGGAAACCTTCCGACCAAAATTGCATCCAAATACTTTTCTAAAAATCCTAATGGTGATCAGGCATTAAGACAATTAGATAGTTTAAAACATTGATTAACAATTCAAAGTATGCATGCAATCAATCATAAGCAATTAAATAAAAATTACATATTCATGCTAATCACCCTAGCAAAAAAAAATTAGTTATGCATATTCATAACTGAAATCATGGAAAATATTATAAAGAAGGAAAAGAATGAAAACACCTTAAAGTTGCAAAAACTCCAAAACCCTAGCAATTGCTCTCCATAATGTCACGTTCAAAAGCCAAAAAGAAGTCGCCAATATTGCCGTAAAAACCAACTTAAATACCCTACAAACAAGCTGCCCCCTCCAGCTTTTCTATCCCCACAAAGAAACTAATTAAAATAAAATAATACTACGACATAAAGTCCAAATTAGACTAGGAGAATCTGCATTTAAACTGCTCAACTACGTTTTGGCCTCAAATCTCTTCCAAATCAGGCCCAAGATAGCTTGTTTTAAAGATAAAAACATTCTGAACACTTCTCCAGAAGGCCACGAACCAATCCGAGGTCATTTTGGGCTTCAAAGTGCAATAAAAGCCCAAAACATCACTATTTCAACACCGCACACTTCTACTTTATTTTATTGCCAGAAAATAACAGCTTGGTAGAATAATATGAAATTTCGATACGATCAAGCTAAGTGACTTGCGAACGTCCTCCAACTGGAATTACTTCAAAATTCGTCTATTTAATTATGTTTTACTCCAAAGGAAGTCGAAAGTCCTATAGTGGAAATATATATAATTCAAAATATCAAAATTCTTCCAAAATATTAACCAAAAATAGAGTTAAATATATAATATAAAACTACTCATCAGTGCCAGCCCCACCTCATTGTTAACTCTCTTGTCTCTTGTTTTTCTTCATAGAGATGTCCAACTTATAGGTTGTTTTTATATATTTATACAAAACTTTTTGGCTCCTAGTCATACCTATCCTATGTTTTGGACCATCAACCTAACCTTGGCAGCTCCGGAACATTGATTTTTACCCACACCCTATCTATGTTGGCCCCTAATTAATTATGATGTCGTATAAACTATGTAACCACCTGACTTCCCCAAAGACAAAAACCAAAAATAAATAACAGTCATTACCATAAATTAATCATTTCTACAAAGATAGATTATAGACATACCCGTCAAAATGTATCATCAAACATACTTCGTGCCCTGAACTTCTAGTCCTCCAACTGAAATGACTGTACCACAACAATAAGCATCAAACCAACCCGTTCATGTAATTTTGTGGCTCACTAATTAGTCAAATTTGTTTTATTTTGTAATGCAATATGTTACTGAATGGAAGACGGACCTAGCTGGCTTCACTCTTACCTTCAGAATGATTTCTATTCTCTGCAATCTATTCGTGAATAATTAAAATAATAAAAAGCAGCAAACCAAAGTAATGCAGACTTGTTCAAATTGTGGAATTCATCTGATACGTGGTTTCAATGACTTTGATAACACATTGAACATAACGAATTAACAAACACTTCCAAACATTGGTTATCTCACACATTGAAGAAAATACTTATGAAACTTTGTAGTATACAAAACATGTCCTCATCTGACATAGTAATTTGTGAGCCTATATACTTGCTTTGAGATGCCTTCAAGACTTTTGGGAAAAAAGTGAAAAAGAAAAAAGAAACTGTAGTTTATCTCGGTTCATTCAGTTTCTGATGAGTCCAACAAAGAAGTAGAGCCAACAAAAATGCTGAGCAGGAGATGTTTCAATCTGCTTTTGAAGGGGCTGATATGCATCGGGGTTTTTTCCTTCTCGATCGCAGTATGTATGGGCGATGAGTCATCAGAATATGAAGCTTTGCGGCAATTCATTAGAGCTGTTGATCCTCAACATGTACTCAGCATTGGCTACAATGTGTCTATGCGGCGAAATCCCTGCATGCATAAGTTGAAGGGTGTGAAATGCAACTCACAGGGTACTTCGGTAACGGAAATCAGGCTTGAAAATCTGAATCTTAGAGGCATACTTGATGTAGATTCACTATGTAAGCTCCCAAATCTTCAATATGTTAGCTTAGCAAGAAACCAAATCCGGGGAACTATTTCTAACTCAATAGTGCACTGCACAAGGCTAACCTATTTGAATCTAAGGAGCAATGTTCTGAGTGGGAGGATACCTAAAAAGGCTCTGAGTAAACTGAAAGATCTAAGGAGATTGGACATATCTGACAATCATTTTACTACCACCAGCCCACGTTCGAAAGAGGAATTTCAGCATTATACATATGTGAAGAAATCAAGGAGATTGCAGAGAAATGATGCCTTGAAAAACCAGGAAAAGGCTGTGGAGTCGGTGACCATAATGGCAGCCTCAGATAGCCCAACTAGTGGCAATCCTAATCCTCCCGGTAAATCGTGGTACAAGAGATACAAGTTCATGATACCATTAATTGTTGGGATTGGCTTCTTTCTCTTGTTCACATACTTTGCGGGGAGGAAGGCGGCGAAGTTAGCTGCAGATAGGGAGATTATGAAGTCGCTTCGAGACTCGCCACACAAAATGCCTCTTCCTACGATTCAAGAGGAAGAGAAGCCAGAAGAAAATCGCTCAGAGCTTGTGTTCTTTGTTGAAGAACACGAGAGCTTTAAATTGGAGGACCTCCTTGAAGCCACAGCAGACTTGAGAAACCAGACCTTTCGCAGCAGCCTTTACAAGGTAATACTCAAGAACAATGCTCTATACGCAGTCAAAAGGTTGAAGAAATTGCAGGTACCCTTTGAGGAGTTTGGCCAAACAATGAGACAGATAGGGAACCTAAAGCATCCAAACATTCTACCTCTTGTTGGTTACAATTCTAGCAATGAAGAAAAACTTCTGATCTACAAGTTTCAAACCAATGGAAGTCTGCTAAACCTGCTTGAGAGTAAGTTGAGATCAAATATTTCTATACATTGCAATGCATCAACTGACCAATATATACACATACACAAACAGAACATTCATCCTTTTGGCTTTTATTCACAACCCAAAACAACCTATAGATTTATGCAAAATAAAACGAAACTTGAATTTAAGTGGGGGCAAATACGTATATTTCTCATAAATTTTGAATCACTTAGAATTTACAAGGCCCTTATTTACTTCCTACATTTTGATTATGCATGCCTTTGATTATCTGCAGGCTACATAGAGGGTAAGAGGGATTTTCCATGGAGGGTTCGGCTATCCATAGCGCGCGGCATTGCAAAGGGCCTAGCCTTCATATATCAGAGATCTGATGAGTGCATCCCTCATGGGAATCTCAAGCTCTCAAATATCCTCTTGGATGACAACGAGGAACCCCTAATTAGTGAATACGGGTTTTCAAGATTCTTCGACCCCAAGAAAGGATGTGTCATTTCCTCCAGTGGTTACACAGCCCCTGAGAAAATGTTATCAGAAAAGGCTGATGTTTATAGCTTTGGAGTGATTCTTCTGGAGTTGTTAACAGGCAAAACAGTGGAAGGAACTGGTATAGATCTTCCTAAGTGGGTCACTGCCATGGTTAAGGAAGAATGGACAGGAGAGGTTTTTGACAAGGAGGTTGCTAAAGCTGCAAAAGAATGGGCCTTTCCTCTTCTCAACATTGCCCTAAAATGTGTATCAGCTTCCCCCACAAACAGGCCAACTGTGGCAGAAATTTATGAGAGGATTGAAGAGGTTATGCATGACAATTCGAATTCATCGGATTGCACAACCGAGTGCGGCGCCTATCAAGACAACTGCTGCATGCTTCACTCCATCATACCTGAGACCTGGGACAGTCCTGGATCAAATTACTAGTTGAAGGTTTTACTTTGTATGCATATTTTCGCTTACGTCGATATCGGATTGTAGATGATCACACAAGCCTTTTCTCTACGTTCTGCAGAAAGAAGTAGCCCGTTGGGTACAAATGATCTGTGTATTTCCTACTGCTAGATAAAAAAAAATGCAGCAGCCAATGTATTTATTAGGTGCACTACAAACTTATGAGCATGTCAAGCTGCATTTCACGATCATGCATCTTTGCATGTCGCAAATCGAAGACTACCTGTGTATAATACAAGCAGACCATAGTTGATCCATATTCATATTCAGAAGTGCTTACTACCTAATTATGTTTTTAAAAAAGTAAAAAAAAAAAAAAAAAAAAAAAAAAAAAACAGAATTATGTTAATTGTTGATGCTAAAATTTGATCAAGTAGGGTGAAACCCTCAAATCACACAAGCACGACATAACGCGATTACATCGGCGGTCGATAGCTTTTGTGTTTCCACCATATGAATTAAGAGTCACAATTTACATAAAATGAGACCAAAAATGAGAGTGAATGAAGAGAGAGGGACAACCCCTTTTAAGGAAAAATAAATGGGCCCTTCCACTTGTGGGCTTGGTCCAAAAGTTTGGAAACCCACACAGAAATATTAATAAGAAATAGCAAAGCTTCCAAATTTTCAATCAAATACATCGACTACTTATTAGTTTAGTGGTATCTCTCTTCTCAATATTAGAAGATGTTTCAAGTTTGAATCCCCGTTCGAAAATAAATTAAATTAAATTCAATCGAGGAGGTTTAGCATCATTGTTAGCTACCAATTCTGCAAAATGAAGAATCTAAAGTGCAAAGTGATTAGTTGCTAACAACCACCTAAGTTGCTGCATTAAGCTTGTCTACTTATAGCTTTGAGCTTACATGGGACTAGGGAATGCTACTTTTGTGAATGGTGGTTTTTGGGTCATGCTACATGTGGCCAAGGTTGCATCAGTAAAATAGCATTTTCATAAGGCTTATTTTGGCCCACCATCAATCAATGTATTTATTTAGGATAATATTTTCTGAAGTTGGAGAGTCACCATCCATTTAAGATCAGACCAACCAATAAATAGCAGTCATTCAAAAGCTGGTTAAATATGTGCATCAACAACAAGATGGAAACATAGAACGCAAGTGGCTCAGCTATCAAATATCACCCCTGGCATGTTGTACTGGGAGTCCATCCTAAATACTGCAAACAGCATATGCCATGAGAAACTTCAACTTGGGGCAATATTTGATTAAGTAATTTCAGAAGCAAAAGCTATTGGTGTATGTGGCTTGATACAATACTTAAAAGCCATGATATGTAAGTTTCATATCGAAGAATACAACGATAATTTACAATTAAAATATAGGTGATTCAATACAAATGTAAATCTTACATCTCATTTTGTTACCAGTTAATTTTTATATCAAATCATGAAATAACCCTAAAAAAACTTTTTAATTGTTACTTCTTTTTTATTGAAGACAATGTACTTGATAAAAACTGTAAGATTGAAAAACCTACTCTCTTCCAAGATTTATGACATGTACTGAAAGGGACATGGTAGAAGCTTGAAGAAAAGTCCCAATTACAATTGATATATCATATATCATATATAAAGGCAGCCCAAGTCATTCGCGTGAGGCTTCCTCATCCATGATCTTGACTAACAAGCCATATTAGGATGGTTGGGACATTTCTTTGCTTTCTAGGTTGTATTTGGTCACTTAACATTGTCAACATATCAGCATCCAGAAATTATCTTAGATGATATTATTTATTTTTAAGACACATCTTAGATGAAATTTAATTCCAACACATCCTGACCCATTTCTCATAAAAGAGATAGGATTTCTGTGTGGGCAGTATTTTGACCATTGTCAGTACTCAATATTAACTTCCTTGAGCGTTACATACTCCTGTTTTTTTTTTTTTTTTTTTTTTTTGGTGTCAAAGTTAGGAAGGGAAGGAGAAAAAACTGACATACACAAGTAACGTGGGGTTTAGACCCAGGACCACTTGGTAACGCATCAAAGACCTAAGCCAATTCAACTAACACCCCCTTGGGCCTTAGAAAAATATAGGATTTCTTTTTGGTACTCCTTAATTATTATTATTTTAATTAGTAGTAATTCTTTGGGACAACCTAAAATAGGCCCTTGTAACTCTATGCACTAGCCTAAAATAGGCCCTAGAATTTTTAATACAAATTTATAAATAAACCCAATCCTAGACATGTATTTATAAAAAAAAACCTAAGCACTATTTAAACATAGAAACACACCTAAAATCAACAATTGTATATTTTTTGGGTGTGTTTATAAATGGGTTTTGAGTGTGTGTAATGATGGGTTTTGGGTGTGTTTATAAATTGTTTTGGGTGTTGGGTTTTTTATAATTTCAGCCCCCATTTTGGGTGTTTTAGTGAAACTCCCACTTTTTAATTAGTAATTATTATTTTTTAATTAGTAGTAATTTTTTTTTTTAATTAGTAGTATTCTAGACACTAGCCTCTATGCACACGCTTCCGCGCCTGCGATATGCTTTTTAAAAAATAATAATAACAATAATTTTAAAAAAAGATAATGGGTAATTGTGTTCTATAAAAATAGAATCCATTATCTGATTTTCCTTTTAATTTTAATTTTTTTAATATGAAAAAGTGTGAATTTACCATATTATCCTTATTTAATTAATAATTTTAATTCTTAATGTTTGCATTAATCATTTTACCATTCTCTGCCTTTTGCTTTATATAGAGCTTTATATATATACTAGCCTCTCGCTTCCGTAAAAATTTTAAATTTATTTTCGAATTAAAAAAAAAATAATGGGTAGTTGTGTTCCATAAAAATAGGATCCACTATCTTATTTTTCTTTTTCTTTTAATTTTTTAAAATATGAAAAATTATGAATTTATCATATTATCCTCATTTAATTAATAATTTCAATTCTTAATGTTTGCATTAATCAAGGGCATTTTTTGATATTTTAAATATTTCACCATTATCTACCTTTTGCTTTTATATATATAAAGTCACCTATTTTTCAACTTCTATGACAAACCCAAATTTAAATATAGGTTCATAATTATCCTAGTATCAACAAAATAATTTTGTAACGCGAGTAACTCAAAATCGAAGGATCTTGTTTCTCATTGTTCTGAGTGTACAGCTGTATTTGCCTTCAATATCATATGTCATTGTTAGATTTTCTTTTTCTTTAAAAACACATTTGATTAATAACATGATTTGACGCCTCCAGCTTGGATCAGGCAGGCATTTAGGCAACTCATTATCAGTTAATTTATTGGCCCACTAGCCAAATACCAGTGGGTCCTACACCCAACCTTTCATGTGAAATCATCTTCCCACTTCTGCCTTATCCTTCACTATTCCTCCCTTAAAAAACAACACTCCACAATGATCATGTTCCTGAATTGATACCCTAAATTGTATTATGTTAACTTCTAAATTGTATTTAATTACCTGCTCTTCCTCTTTAAGTACACATGCAATAATGTTCTTTGCCATTATGCAACTACTCGAAAGCAGCTTCTACGTGGATGAAAAATTATTTTGTACGTCTGATACACTGGTGATCTGACGTAAAAGGTATTCATTTTATAACACATCATAAAAATTAATATCTAACCTTCAATCCTAAAATGGTGAATCAAGAGCTTTGGGTACTTGTTATAATTTCAATTTATTTATTTTCTACGAAACCACTGGTTTTTATTTTATAGGTATATTTATTTTCCCTAGCTAATTCTTTTCCCAAACCAAATTAGGTGAAACACAACTGTTAATATTTAATCTTATGCGTATACCATCAGTCTAACCATTCCAACATAGTTGTTCAAATAATATATATATATATATATTTCTTTTCTTATAGTTAAATTATATATAATTTGGTGAACGATGTTTGGAGAATATCTTTTGTGAAAGAAACAAACATAGGGAAATTTCCAAAACAGATTGCTTTCTACTTGCACTATGTTGGAAAAGTCGAAATTGAATTCTTTAGTTCACTTCAAAATTGAAATTTATTAATTATTTTGGTAAGTCCAATAGTATTTTAGTTGTTTTTACAAAAATAAATAAATAAATAGCGCAAAATGACTTCTTTTTTTTGTACCAATAACAGCTCCTTTTATTTTTTAACATATCATTGACAATTACATTCCTCTATATATTTGCTTTTTGAAAACGGTAGGCAGCCTCAAAATTCCTTTTAGTGTTCCAAACATACAATTTTTGAAGTTGATATGTTGATGAAGTTCGTTAATGTTTTATCGATACAAGTGATATTGAGAGAGGGAGAATTTGAGTGTAGGACTCCGTCTGCAAGAGTAATTGCTCTTAATCCCTTGAAGTTAGCCAAAATTTAATTTTGATACATGTTACACATAAACAAATTTTGTTACATTAAACTTTATTTTCTTTTGTGGTCTCTATTTAACTCAATCTGTTTGAACAGCTGGTCAACCTGCTGTCCCGTCCCTATATGCAAATGCCACCTTTCTGTTTGTATCTAATTTTTTGGGTTTTCAACTTTTCAATAGCAAATGGATTTTCTGTTTTTGATCGTGAGGCTGATCTTCTGTGTGGTCACGCCGATTCTTATCCTTTCTTCCAGTCCGTCATCCATGCATAAATTAGGATATGCATTGTTTTCTCTCTCTCTCTCTCTCTCTCTCTCTCTCTCTCTCTCTCTCTCTCTCTCTACCTATAGATTTTTCTTCTATGAGAATCACAAAGCACAGCAATGTATAATTGCATGTGGTCCTAATGCTCCACAATTAACTCACACAAGAACAAAATGGGCCACAAAGGGTGACATTTCCATACTTCACTTAATCTGCAACTTGAAAATGACAATTTATGAAGAATCCTTGCTCTGATTTTGCTTTTTCATGCAACTGTTTGGAACAGAATTTGAGACCCAGAATGTTAAAAAATCCAGGGCTCTAGCTACGAGACAGTTAGACC